GGGTTCAGAATGCTCTTTGATTGTAGGTGAACTATAAATCCCAGTAAGTACAAATCCCAAATGTCAAGGTCTGTTTTCCCCAAACTCCACCAGTGTTCGTATTTGGACATATTGAGTATTAGTGCCATGTTTGGTCCATATCTACAATTGTTTGAGTCCACAGTGCTCTCTGGATGGAGATGAATTACAACTCCCAAACTCAGGGCCAATGTCCACCAAACCCTTCCAGTATTTTCTGTTGGTCATGGGAGTTCTGTGTGCCAAGTTTGGTTCAAATCCATTGTTGATGGAGTTCAGAATGCACTTTGATTGTAGGTGAACTATACATCCCAGGAACTACAACTCCCAGATGACAAAATCATATTTTTTTGAGTGATGGTCACTCCTTGTGTTGTGAGACGTTTTGTTGCCAAATTTGGTGTGATTTAGTTCATTGGTTCTTTTGTTTTTAAGGAACTCATTATGCACAGAGCATTTATTATATATATATAGATTTTGAGAGCCAGGTGGTGTTGTTTGCTGGACTTAGACACTGGGAGACCAAAAAGGTTCAAATCCCCACTTGGCCATACAAACCCACTGGAAAGCACTGAATGACATTGCATTCTTTCCACCTCAGAAGAAGGCAAAGGCAAACTGCACCTGATTAAACACTGCCAAGAAAATCCTAGAAAATGGGGGCCAGCACAGTGTTATGGTTTGGGATAGAACTTGTAAACCAGGGTTCATATCCATGCAGAGCCAATGGAAACCTACTGGGTGACCTTTGGTAAGTTGCACAATCTCAGCCTCAGAAGAAGGTAATGGTAAACCTTATCTGAATAAATCTTGCCAAGAAAAATCAATCAACTTGAAGGTATAGAACAACAAAGCAAGATCTATATAAATAAAAATGTAATGTTCGTTTGTGGGATTAACAGAACTCAAAAACCAGTGGGCCAATTGACACCAAATTTGGACAGCATACACCTACCAACCCAATGTATGTCCTTCACTCAAAAAAAAAATTGATTTTGTCATTTGGGAGTTGTAGTTGCTTAAATTTATAGTACACCTAAAATCAAACAGCATTCTGAACTCCACCAACGATGGAATTGAACCAAACGTGGCACACAGGACTCCCATGACCAACAGAAAACACTAGAAGGGTTTGGTGGGCATTTACCTTGGGTTGGGAGTTGTAGTTCATCCAGAGAGCACTGTAGATTCAAACAATGATGGATCTGGTCCAAACTTGGCACAAATATTCCATATTCCCAAATATGAACACAGATGGAGTTGGAGGGGAAATAGACCTTGACATTTGGGAGTTGTAGTTGCTGGGATTTATAGTTTACCTACAATCAAAGAGCATTCTGAACCCCACCAACAACAGAATTGGGGCAAACTTCCCACACTGAACCCCCGTAACTAACAGAAAATACTGAAGGCCATCCAGTCTGACTCCTTTCACTGGGGCAAGAAAATGTAATCAAAGCCCTCCTGACAAAGAGCCATCCAGCCATAAATATAGATAGATATATATGATTCACACACACAGATACAGTATGATAGATATGAAAGAGACCCCTAAAGAAGGACAATTATACGTTGCATATTCCAGAGTAGGCAAACCATACAATCTCCGCATCAACACTGACAAAGAAACAGCAAGAAATACTGTTTACACACAAACATAAAGACATGACATATATTAGAAATCAATCACCTTCTCATTATTTTCCAGATCACCAGACTGGGCCACAGCAACATGTGGCAGGGGATGGCTAGTTAAAATATAAATTGAATAAACACACTATGATGAAGCTGTTAGCCAATTCTATCGACTAGTTTACTTTCAGAACTTTACTTGTAAACTCCCAATTCTCATCAGCCTAAGTCAGCTTGGTCGATGTTCAAAGAGGACTTTAGGAATTCCACGTTCCTACTACTTCTTTGTTTATTGATGAGGCTATGTTTATTGGAACTACATTCCAACAATATCTGCAGGGCACAAGTTCCCTACTGAGATAAGATAACCCTTGCTCTTGAAAAATAAAATAAAAAAGTGAAATTCTTAAGAACTTCAGTTTCTTTATCACAACACACACACAGCCTTGAACACAGTATGAAGAAGACGCTTCACATATGATCCCATGAAACTGACCAATATTAAAGTAACCTTTTGGGGCATCCAGTCCTTTTTGTAGCTTCTGAATGTCAAGCAGAGTCCTTTCCCATTCCTTGCTATCTTGAGATGCTTGGAAATGTTGCTAGAGCCCATGGAAAACATGGGCTCTGCCTCTGAGCTATCATCACATTCCAAAAGCCAGGACACACTCACACATACATGAATCAGCTAACGCCTCATTACAGCTTGGAAATGTTGGTTTGGGGAGGTGGGGTTGGACTAAAATTTCCAGAATGTTGCAGCCAGCCAGTGAGAGTCCAAAACAATAACATTTCCTATCCATGTATTTTATACACAATACTGGAGGCACAACATTTTGTACACCTTAGGTCCCTTTGAGGGAAAAAGCAGGATACAAATAAAGATTTATTATTATTATTATTTATTTTTATATTATTATTTATTATATTTTTATATATTATATTTTTATAATAAATACAAAGATTTATTATTATTTATTATTATTTTTTATACTGCTTTGAGTTCTCTTCGAGGGAGATAAGTAAAGGTAAAGGTTTCCCCCTGACACTGTCTAGATGTGTTCAAATCTGGGGGTTGGTGCTCATCTCCATTTCTAAGCCAAAGAGATGGCCTTGTAGACGTTTCCTAGAACATGTGACCAGCATGACTGTATGGAGCACTGTTACCTTCCCACAAAAGTGGTATCTATTGAACAACTCATATCTGCATGTTTTCAAAATGCTAAGTTGGCAGAAGCTGGGGCTAACAGCGGGAGCTCACCCCGCTCCCTGGATTCAAACCGCTGAAACTTTCAGTCAGCAAGTCCAGCTTCTTCTTCTTCTTCTTCTTCTTCTTATTATTATTATTATTATTATTATTATAGCTTTGCATTAGCTTACACTTTGGAGCACTTGGCCATATTCACATCTTCTCAACATGCTTCCTGCAGACCTAGTAACTGCCTCCGCCTTGGCTCAATGAAAATAACAAAGAACAGACCAGGACACGCATGCACACAAATACATTTCCTTTTTGTTCACTCACATTCAGTTTGTAGGGCATGGACTCAAAGAAGATAGACGTGGCGGAGATGCGCTTGACATCCGACATGTACCCATGTGTCAGGCTGTCAGGGAGATAAAAGACAGGTGGTCCGAAAGGAGTGCAAGCAAAACTTTGTCCAATAGATCCAGCAAAATTTCTTCAACTCAGACGGCTTCACCAATTAGCTATGTCTCCCCAACCCTCCCTCTGCCCCCAAGTAAGGTGGCCACTCTGAAGTTTGAGGGAGAGCTGGATGGCCTGGATATATTTGCCAATTTAGAGAGGGCACAGCGTGTCCCTTGGAGAGACAAGGCACCTTCTTCTCAGCATCTCCCCCGATAAGAAGAGAAAATGGGACTTTTCCACAGGCTGGGTAAAAATTCTATAGCTATAATAAACTATTTCTGTGAGGCAAGTTTCTGCCCAATGAAGAATCTCACTTCCTGTCTGAAAGCCAGCATAGTGTAGTAATGACTACTAAGAGTGTTGGACTATGACTCTGGAGGCCAGGTTTCAAATTCACACTCAGCCATGGAAACCCACTGCATAACCTTGGCCAAGACTTATTTTCTTATCCTCAGAGTAAGGTAAAGTCAAACCCTCTCTGAACAGATCTTAAAAAAAAAAAACTGTTGATAGGTTTGCTTTAAGATCACCATAAATCAAAAATGACCTGAAGACACACAACTATTGGGTGCGGAGGGGGTCGAAAACAAAGACCACCCTTAACCCCATATTTAAGTCTTATATCATCTTTAGTTTCACCATTTCAATCTACCTTTCCATCAATTTCAGTCATTCCTCCCTTTACTACTTTTGTGGGTTTTCAACCTCCCACTACTTCTGTGCTCCATATTCCCTATTTTCACCTTATACATTTCAACCACCGCAAGTTCTCCTCCACTTAATTCCTTCTTCAGCCATCAGAAGTCATGTTGACAGAAGATTAATGAGAGTGCAATACATCTGGAAGCAACAGGTTGGGGAAGGCTGTTTCGGGGACTCCAGTAAACAGGAAAATCCCTTAGGCCTCCTAATACACATTACAGCTTTTAACTGGTACATACTGGCCCCCGTCGGGGAGGTCGAGACCCATGAGTCGTTCATGAGGCTGCAGCAAAGCTGTGTAAGCAGCAAAATTGGCAGGGGAGCCGGAGTAGGGCTGGACGTTCACGCCCCAACGCTCAGGATCCAGGTCAAAGGCTTCAAGGGCACGGCGTTCACATAGCAGCTCAATGCGGTCAACCACTTCAGCTCCACCATAATACCTGTTGTTGGGACATAAATGGGAAAGATGCATTTGAAGATTTCACCACCATCACAATCTCTGAGCTGGAAAATAACAAAGACAAAAAATCATATCTACTTCCTTCTTGTCATTGCAAAATACTAGCATATCTACCCGTCGTTGCCTGGCTGCCAGAGGGGCCACTACTATCCTGTTTTCATCCCTAATTTCTCTTTACCTCCCCATATTTGTGAACCGCCTTGAGTCCCCTTTGGGGGTTGAGAAGGGCGATATACAAATGCCGCAAATAATAAACAATATTTTTTCCCCTTTCCTCTCTCTTCTTTCCCCCCCCCCCCCCCCGCCCCCATTTTCCTTCTCCTACTTTATCTTTTTCACTTGTTTTGTTTTCTTCTCCTCTCATTTCTACCTTCTCCAGCTCTAAGAGGGTTCCTCCAAAATGTCTCTATGACAACACAGCTCTCTTTGTGGCTCTTTCCTTCCTTTCTCACCTCCCCTCATACATGTCACCTTGCTTTCCCGTTGATATCACAGAGGGCCACTTCACCTAGCAACAGCCAATCATTCACCTAGAAACAGCTAATCCAGTGATATCATAGGGGGCCACTCATTTAGCAACAGCCATTGTGATACAAACAGACATACATACTTTGACTTGGCTAGATAGATAAAGCAACAATCCCTTTTTCCAAAGCTTTCTGCTCTCCCTTGTGTACACAGAAGAATCCCATCGAGTGACACCAACCTCCATTGTTATATTCTTTTCCCTGATTGGAAGTGTCCACCGTGCTGTCTCTTCCTATTCCTAATATGTAGTCTGAACAGAACTGACCACTTTGGCTGACACCTACCACAATGGTTGAGCATAACACCATAGCCCCAGCCCCTGTATTCTCATGGTGGTCCGCGAGAAGGCCTTACTGGTACATTATTTAAACTGTTATGTTTATTCATATCATGGTCTGATCACCATGCTCAATATATCCCATATGCATGGGGGTATTGGGGTAACAATACAAAAGGTTTGCTAGGGTAGACCCTCTTTCACTCAGACTCATCCCCCCCTGAATCAAAATCCTGGCTACAGGCCTGCTCCCACTACACCATACTATAATTTTATTTGGTTAACTCCTATGAGTTTGAACATTGATCAGAGGCATATTTCAACCCCCAGAAGTGTTAGGCAGCTTGGGCAACTGTGAGTAATTATGGGAGATGAAGTCTAAATCAGCAGGAGAACCAAAGGTTGGGAACCACTTCACCAAAGGAATTCTCTAGCTGATAATTCTAAACAACAAATCTCGAAATTCCATAGGATGTTCCCATGGTAGTAAAAGTGGGATCAGAATGCTATAATTATGAATTCTGAAAGGCCTACAGGTACACAAGGTAAAGGTTTCCCCTTGACATTAAGTCTAGTTGAGTTCGACTCTGGGGGTGGTGCTCATCTCCATTTTTAAGCCGAAGAGCTGGCATTGTCCATAGACACCTCCAAGGTCATGTGGCCAGCATGACTGCATGAATTGCCATTACTTTCCCTCTGAAGTGGTACCTACTGGTCTATTCACATTTTCATGTTTCCAAACTGCATTCCTGTATGGAGCGCCATTACCTTCCCACTGAAGTGGTACCTACTGGTCTATTCACATTTGCATGTTTCCGAACTGCATTCCTGGTTGGCAGAAACTGGGGCTAACAGCAGGAGCTCTCCCCATCCCACAGATTTGAACTGCCAACCTTCCAGTCAGCAAATTCTGCAGCTTAGCGGATTCACCTGCTGCGCAACTGCGGCACCACAAATAAACAGATACATACCGAGGAAAATTCAGGAGTTCAATTTTCTCCTTATACCCATAGAAAGGAGCTTTAAAATATCTTCACAGGAATTTTCAAGAGTGGTAGAAAGAGGGAAAAAACTAATTTCTTCATCCTACTCTTTCCCAATATGGACACCTTATATACAGTTTGATCTTTCTACTGATTCCCCCATTTCTTTGTCTTATTTTTCTCAGATCCTGCCTTATATAAGTCTCCCCTGATACCACCAGATATTATTCACTATGAATTTGATACAAGTCTCCATTTGTAACGAATCAATACATGATCAGAATATATGCTGCAACATCTAGCACACTAGAACTTGCCCAGTTCTGTTCCACTGTGATGCAGTACTTCCTTACTCTGCTTATCCTACTCTAAAATGGCCTTACCTCTTGCCAGGGTAGCCCTCTGAGTATTTGTTGTTAAGGCAAGAGCCCAGGGCTTCCAGAGCAGCTCGGCTACAGAAATTCTGGAATCAAAGTGAAAGAGACAGAGGCAGAACAGAGAGAAGAAGGACAAAACAGAATCACTCACATCCACCTGACCAAGCAGTAGAAATGCTCATCCTCCCTATACCCCAAGTCTAAGAAGAGCAATAGTAGCCATGTAGAATGGGGAAACCTGGACTGGGATCATGGAAGAGCATTGCCCATGCCACACTGAAATGCATCCCCTTCACAGTACTATTTTCTGCACCATCAGCATGGTGAGGGTGAGTGGGAAAGCAAGGAGAAGATGTAAGGAACTTCAAATTCTCCTATTCCCTATGTATCATGGTCCTGATTCAAATCCAGAGGAGAATTAAAATACTACAGCCATCCCTCCATATTTATGGATTTGATCATTCACAGTTTTGATACAAATATTCTCTCTATGTCAGTGGTTCCCAACCTGTGGTCCATGGACTACTAGTGGTTCTCCAAGAATGAAAATATGGTCCGCTGCCTCATCATTACTACACAGTTGCAATGAGATCAACTGGTCTCGCGAAACCTTCTTAGAGTGCCGAGGCAATGGGGATGTTGGGAGGGAAGAAGCTGACTACCCACAAAAGGCATGACAACAAGCCTCTTGACTGCTGCTTCTCCTTCTCCTCCCTCCTCCTGAGCGGAGCCATTCCATGTGGTGCCTGGAAGTAGGGGCGGCTTGGTGCCTTTGTTTTTAGGCCTATTCTTAGGGTTATTTGGGGTCCTGATTCGTAAAATTGCATTGGATAGACCACATCAGCTCTAGATTAAATATGGTTTTCAGTGGGCGAGCGGATGGTGATTACTGGATGGCATATCTTCTGTATCAGAAGCTAGGGCTGATGTGGTCTATCCAATGCAGTTTTCTGAATCAGCATCCCAAATAAGCAAACCAAATCTAAAGTTAACCAAAAGCTGATTTGTAACTGGTACTAATGTTGGAGAGTGGTCCCTGGTCAAAGTGGTCCCTGATTAAAAAAAGGTTGGGAACTACTCTTGGGAACTGAAGTTGACCAAAAACTGATTCATAACCTTTTTTGGTACTAATGTCCCTGGTCAAAGTGATTCCTGATCAAGTGGTCCCTGGTCAAAAAAAGGTTGGGAACCACTGCTCTAGGTCATCTTGTGAGACTCTGGTCAACTTCCTCCAGGCATGATAGACTATAGAGATCTCTAGAGAGAAAACTTCTCTAGGAATCTGTAGATCTGTGGTTCTCAACCTGGGGTCCCCAGATGTTTTTGGCCTACAACTCCCAGAAATCCCAGCCAGTTTACCAGCTGTTAGGATTTCTGGGAGTTGAAGGCCAAAAACATCTGGGGACCCCAGGTTGAGAACCACTGCTGTAGATCATCCAATCGATCCAATGGCCAGATTCAAGTGGAGGCTGACCATAGAATCATACTGAAAGAATAAATTCTTCCTAGAAAGCTATTTTCTCATGCAAAAGAAGCAGTTTATTTATTTGCAGTTTTCACTTCCACAGGAGTTAGGTGCCTTTACCACTAGAAAATGAGGGACGACTGTATTTATTTTTTAAAAAGACTTCAATACATACAGAATACAGACATCACTACATTGTGTGAATGTGCTTTCCTTCTGTTCCTGGATTTTGTAAGGCACTGTTCACAGTGGATAAAGGGGAGGAAAAAATTATTCTATTTTATCATGCCAGCCACCTTTGTGCCAAGTGCCAAAGATCACATCTCTGTATTCCACATTCCTTGGTTCAAATTAACCATGAGACCTATCTTTTAAGCTTATAATGACCCTTATGGCCACCGAGCTGCAAGAATAAAGGAGAGTTAAATCCTCCAAAATATTTGATTTTTTAACACATAAAAAGGTTGAAAGCATTTCCAACCTTATAAAAAATCAACAGTCGCCCCTACAGGAACATTAAATGGTGAAATATGTTTAGAATCCTGCATTCAATGCTTTGCATTTAAATGAAGTTTTATTTCCCAAATTTATATACTACTTCAAGGCCAATGTTCTGAAAGGGATTGATGTTAAAGGTTGGAGGGGGGGGGGGGAACCAACAACATAAAACAGCAATAATAAAATACCATTAAAATCTGAAGCAATATATTTTTTTAAAACAGTTTTAACATAGGGCAGCTAGTTCTTATCTATCTTTTATTTCTCAACTGTACATACATCAGATTAATTCTCCAAACTGTATATTTGAATTCTGAAGTTTGAATAATTCTGCCTTTGTGTAATATACTAAGAGAGAGCACTATGTCACATCCCTGGTTGAAGACAGTGGCACAAAATCTATCAGGATAAGGCCTTTCCATTTCATAACAAACCTTTTTCTGTGGTTTGTCATTTTTTGAGGTCAGACTTCAATTATAATATCTTCCCAGTGCTTCATATACATGATACCAGTAATAATGCTTCTATTAAGGCCAGTAGGATTTCAGTCCTATATGTTGTCCTCAAGTTGCCTGTTGGCTTATGGCAGCCTCACAAATTTCATAAGGTTTTCTCAGGCAAAGAAAATGTATAGGTAGTTTTGTCAGTGCCTTTCTCTAAAATGTAACTTACAGCACTTGGTATTTGTTGAAGGTGCCCCATCTAAGGACAAAACTTTCAAGATTAGATGGGATCTAGTGCCTTTTGGGTATTTAGGTCATCTGCTATATGCCTGTGAGACATGGACTGTCTACAGACGTCACATGCAACTCCTGGAACGATTCCATCAGCGCTGCCTCCGGAAAATCCTGCAAATCTCTTGGGAAGACAGGCGGACAAATGTCAGCGTGCTGGAAGAAGCAAAGACCACCAGCATTGAAGCGATGGTCCTCCGCCACCAACATTGTCCGGATGCCCAACCACCATCTCCCAAAGCAGTTGCTCTAGAACGGAAAACGGAATGTTGGTGGACAGGAAAAGAGATTTAAAGATGGCCTCAAAGCCAACCTTAAAAACTCTGGCATAGACACTGAGAACTGGGAAGCCCTGGCCCTTGACCGCTCCAGCTGGAGGTCAGCTGTGACCAGCAGTGCTGCAGAATTTGAAGAGGCACGAATGGAGGGCGAAAGGGAGAAGCGTGCCAAGAGGAAGGCGCGTCAAGCCAACCCCGACCGGAGACCGCCTTCCACCTGGAAACCAATGCCCTCACTGCGGAAGAAGATGCAGAGCAAGAATAGGGCTCCACAGCCACATACGGACCCACAAGAATATTGGAAGACAATCCTCCTCGGAAAACGAGGGATCGCCTAAGTATGTAAGTAAATAAGTTAGGTCATCTTTTTTTTAAGACCATGCTGTTGGAAATTGGGAAGGGAGGCCAAACATTTGGCCATCTAGAAATAATTGGGCTTCATTTCCCATAATCTCTTGCTAATATGGTCACTGGTGAGCTATATTATTATTATTATTATTATTATTATTATTATTAACTTTATTTGTACCCCGCTAGCATCTCCCGAAGGACTCGATGCGGCTTACACAGGCCGAAGCCACAAAACACAATATAATAGAAACAGACATCACAAAAGCAGAACAAATCAAACAATAGCAAAATAACAACAATAGCAGTACATCAAGACATTATTAAAACTGGTTCGGCCGGCGCACTGGGTACAAGGGATTAAAAGTGCTGAAATGGCAGGAGGCACGTAGGATTTCAAGTGCGGTGTGCAGTAACGATAATGATAACGGTGTGCAGCTATGATAATGATAACAATAAATGTTCAACATCCAGGTGGCCATGTGTCCATAGCCCTGGATTAAGAGAACAGCAGTCTACTTAAGAAGATCTCCAAATTTCAGGCTGTCATGAAATTTGAACCAAGGAACTTCTAGCGCACATTCTAAGATAGCATACTGGATAATACAAAATAAGTAGATATGGTTACCAACAGCTATTAACCATGATACCCTAATTGAAGTTTTATACCAGGAATACGTCGCTGGACTTCAAATCCCAGCAATCCAAGAGTGCCATACCAATGGTGACAGATGTTGGAAGCTGCAGTTAAACATCTGGAGGACTATATGATTTCTAGAGTGACTCTGGCCGGATCTACACTGACCTATAATGTTGTTTAGACTGCGAATCCCAGCAAACCAAGAGTACCCTACCAATGGTGAAAGAAGTTGGAAGCTGCAGTTGAACATGGAGAGCTATATGATTTCCAGAGTGACTCTGGAATAAGCAGATAATCTGGGATCAGATACTAGGATATAGGGCAGTGTAAATCCAGACTCTATGTTTAGAAGTAGTACACCGATTTCAGAGGGGAAGGTACATACTACCTTCATGCACTGCTTATGGGCTTTTCATCTAATTGGCCACTGCAGGTAATAAGAAAATGGATGTAAGGGGAATCATTTTGAATTATCCTGATATTTGTAAGGATTAATGTCTGCTGAAGAAAAGATGAAAGGACCTGAGTCCTCCAGATATTTGCTGAACTTCAACTCCCAGAAGTTTTTGCAAACCTGGTCAATGGTGAGGTATGTGGGAATCGTGGTACATAGATTTTCTACTTCAACATCTCCAGCTGAAAGGGTAACTAAAACAACTGTGTATGCATCTTCAAATCTTTCTTGGAGCCCAAAGAAGGAGTCACTATTTGACACAGAAAGTATCCAAAGCATAACTCAACTACCCACTTGTGTCCTATTAAAGGAGTAAGGAAGGGGAAAGCATTTTTCCTTAGCTCACCTCTGAGGCAATGAGTTCCAGTCCCCGGCACTGTCGATCCTTCTCTTGCTGCACCAGCTCCCACATCTCCGGGTCACTTTCAGACAAGCTCTCCTGCCCAGTCCATCCTGGTGACTCTTTGGCAGACGCAGCAGCTGCTTTGCTGTGCTGGGCCCGCAAGCTCCCTGTAGCCTGGCAGCATATCCGCAGAGGCTGGGAAAGGAATTGTGTAAAGAGAACTGTAAAGAAATTCAGGAAAGTCAAGAGTCACAACTCCCAAACATTATGGCAAACACATGGGGCCTAACTGATCTGCCAGATTTCTCCATCCAAGTTGTAATTGGAGAATCTAATTCAGTCTTTCCACACCTGATGCCCTAACAAGCAGACTACAACTCCAAACATCCACAGCTAGTGGCTAGAGATAATAGAGACTACAGTCCCTCTGCTTGAAGTAGGATACACGCATAGAAGGCATCAATGCATATAAAGACTGACCACATATCAGCTGACAAAACCCTGTGCCGGCAGGACTGAAGACTGACAGGTCACAGGTTCGAATCCGGGGAGAGGCGAATGAGCTCCCTCTATCAGCTCCAGCTCCTCATGCGGGGACATGAGAGAAGCCTCCCACAAGGATGATAAAAACATCAAAAATCATCCGGGCGTCCCCTGGGCAACGTCCTTGCAGACGACCAATTCTCTCACACCTGAAGCGACTTGCAGTTTCTCAAGTCGCTCCTGCCACGACAAAAAAAAAGCTGACAAAACCAGGATCTCACACCATATTCACTATGCTAACTCTTGAAATTGCCAACTGGACCCTCCTAGCACTTGTTTTCAGATGCAAATGTATCGCCAACTGGACCCTCCATGCAAACCAGAGGAAACGCAAAGTAGTCACATTACTCTTCTGTAACCTAAGACACACCATGAGTGCAACAACAGGAGATTCAGGGCCTCTCCACACAGCCACATAACCCAGAATATCAAAGCAGAAAATACCACAATATCAGCTTTGAACTGGATTATCTGAGTCCACACTGCCATATATTCCAGTTCAAAGCAGAAAATGTGGGATTTTATTCAGCTGTGTGGAAGGGACCTCCGACAGGTCTTTAAGGGTGAGAAGTATGAGCGAATTATCCAAGTAAGACATAAGTTCTACCAACATTAAAACATTTTTAAAAAAATAAAAGGCAGCAAAAATAATTCAAGTTTACAAGCTTGCAAATGTGTTGTTCTTTTAAAGTACCTTCCAGTTAATTTCAATTTATGGAAGCCCTCTCCTACAGTTTTCTCAACAAAAACTATTCAGAGATTTACTGTTGCCTTTGTCTTAGGCTGAGAGAGTGTGACTTGCCTCAAATCACTCAATGGATTTCCATGACTCAGGCTCCTTCTATACTGCCATATAATCCAGAGTATCAAAACAGACAATCCATATTATTTGCTTTGAATTGGGTTATATGAGTCTACACTGCCATATAATCCAGTTGAAAACAGATTATCTGGATTTTATATGACAGTGTAGAAGGAGCCTAAGTAGGCATTTGAACCAGAGTCCTAGTCAACACTTAAATCACTACACTACTTCGGCTCTCTAGCTTGTAAGTTGTGGGTGTATGTATCTTCAGCTTGCCTGTAAGTCTATTCCATCCCCATGAATTTTAGAGCATTTCTGATGTAAGGAATACATCATTGTGCCACTTCTTTCATTTGAAATATAGCCTATAGCACTTGGTATGAACTGGGAATTTCTCATCCAAATGTTAATCAGAGCTGATGCTGCTTAGTTTCCAGAATCAGATAGAATTGAATATTTTTCAGGGTATTTACACACAGCTTGTAAATTGTGTGTGTAGAATCAAATAGATTAACACAAGAGAGACCTGACTATGGTCTTTGAGTTGTTGTTAGAGCACAGTTCTCGTGATCTCATTTTTGACTATGATGATGGAGTTTGTAGCTCTTCAACAACATGTCCAAAGCCATATATATTTGCTTATTTATTATTTGGTTACTTATTAATTGAATGTATACATTGCATTAATTAATTAATTATATACATTATAATTATATACATTATAATGTATACATTATCTATATTGCAATAATTAATTAATTGAATGTATACATTGGAGAGATTAGGAAAGCCCCTTCACTAGAAACGTTCAAAAGGAACCTTAAAACCTGGCTCTTCCGCTCCGCCTTTGGCGAGTAAGTGCACAGCATGACACTATTGCTCCCCTCAACACCTCTGCCACTGGAGTATATGCCCTCCAAATGGGAAGTTTAGTTTCACAACCCTGTGTGTTTTTATGAGCTCCCTGCAAATAACCTACTCCTATTTTTATCTTATTAGAGTCTTTTAATCATTTTTTTCCTATACATGTGGCCCGCCCACTGTTATTGTGAATGTGTTTATTGGAATGTTATTTTGTTATTGTATGTGTGTATTCTTTTTCTATGTAATTTTGATTTTGTTTATTGTCTATGTTTTGGTGTTATTTTGCTGTAACATGTTGTCCGGGCTTGGCCCCATGTAAGCCGCTCCGAGTCCCCATTGGGGAGATTTTTGGTCGTGTCAGGAGTGACTTGAGAAACTGCAAGTCACTTCTGGTGTGAGAGAATTGGCTGTCTGCAAGGACGTTGCCCAGGGGAAGCCCGGATGTTTTTTTTTAATGTGTTACCATCCTTGTGGGAGGCTTCTCTCATGTCCCCGCATGGGGATCTGGAGCTGATAGAGGGAGCTCATCCACACTCTCCCCGGGATTTGAACCTGTGACCAGTCGGTCTTCAGTCCTACCAGCACAAGGGTTTAACCCACTGAGCCACCGGGGGCTCCACTGGGGAGATGGTGGCGGGGAATAAAGATTATTATTTATGATTATTATTATTATTATTATTATTATTATTATTATTATTATTATTGCCTTGCTCCTAGGTGGGATCCAGGACAGAATGTACCGCATCTTGCCACCTAACAAGTAGCAACCTAAACGCTCAGAGAGGAAAGCTGGCAGGGTGAAGGAGGCAGTCAGTTTCAAGGCCTGCTGGAACAAAGCTAGCTTTGTGTTGCAGAGGGGAAAGCCGGCTTCATTTGCTCAGAACAGCGGAGGCATAAGCTGAGTTGGCAATTTCGACAGGGAAAGAAGTTTTGCATGCACGCACACACACATGACCATGCACACAATCTTCCTCCCTATGGGTCGGCATTCTTCAAAGCACGCCAGCAGGTCACCACAAATGACAGCCAACCGGCTTTGAAAAGAGGTGGCTTCCTTTCATTTCCACTCATTTAAAGATGCTTCAACAACCCCATCATCTCTGCAGATGATGCAACTCGCTCACTGAAGTTGCATCAGCAAGGAGACCTCAGGAATGCATCAAGTTTGGCAAAGTAGTCAACGCATTCGAAACATTGAAAAAAGAATGCATTCTCCAAATCTCAATTTATTTAGAGTGTACATATCCATTTGTGTGTTTGTTTGTGTTTTTTTTTAACACATGCATAGATTTACTTTAAAAACCAGAGTTTTAATCTTCAGCAGCCAAAGCAGTTTAGCTGTCGTGTTGTTGTTTTTTTAAAGTTGTACTTATGTTACCTAATCTAGATGCTTAGCCTGCGAATCAGAAAGCAGTTGTCTGGGGGCAGGTCATCTTATTCAACAAAGTTGTTGCCAAAGTGAAACTTCTGCCAAAGAGACTTTGGTAAAAGTGATAAAGCAGGCGCACAAGTTGTTTTTTATTTTGCTTTGTTTTTTGTACCTCTCCCTACCCTCCCTCTTATCCGCTCCAAAGGCCTCTTTTGTCATTTCTCTCCCTCTCTGTCCTCAGAGCTGCAATGTCAGATAGGACAGCAAGAGAAAAGAGAAGCTGCAAAAATTAGCCCATAAAAGCCAGCAGAGCGTGGCTTCCCGGAGAGGTTTTCAGCTGATAATAGCGTCTCAGTCTTGAAGATCCAGATAACTCTTCCCTGCGCTTTGTGCCGCAATCCAAGAGCCATTAGATAGAATTAAATACTCATGGAGCAGCAGAATGTCTCCCCAAAAAGGAGATCTGTGCTGTCATCACATTGCCTGCTATAACCCTCCGGCGGGGATATAAACTCCTTTCTCCCTTGCTTTTCTTTACTTGCACAATTTAACATTCCCATTGGAAATGGTTGAGGAAAGCAAGAGTGTCTGGAAACAGAACTTCAGTAGAGGAGCAAAACTTTTTTGTTGTGCTGGTTGCAATGGAAAGAAGTGATTGCTGTGCTGTTTCTGTACCCACATCCTATGTCTTTTCGAATGCATTTGCTCTTACCTTTTACTAAGAAAAAATCAATTTAATATTTTTCTTTATGAATTAAAGCTTTTTGCGGTAATTGTTGCAATGGAAAGACATGACCAGCTGTATCTCCATCCACATCATACACTTTACCTTTATAGTGTTAAAAAGGTTCCCTTTAATATAAGATAAAGGTAAAGGTTTTTCCCTGACATTAAGTCCAGTCATGTCCAACTCTGGCAGATGGTGCTCATCTCCATTTCTAAGTAGAAGAACTGGTGTTGTCCATAGACACCTCCAAGGTCATGTGGCCAGCATGACTGCATGGAGAGCTGTTACCTTCCCACCAGAGTGGTACCAATTGATTTACTCACATTTGCGTGCATATATATACTTTTTGTTGTGGTAGTTGCAATGCAAACAAGTTATCAGTTTTTCCATCTACATTGCATGCCTTGTCCTTTATGATATGCTTGTTTTTACTTCTTGTAAATTTTTAAAAAAATATTAAAGGGTATTCTCTTAAGTGCAACTTTTGTTGTTGTGATGGTTGCAATAGAAAGAAGAGGCCAGCTGTTTTTCCATTTGCGCATTTGCTCTTATATCTGGTTTAATATTTTAATATGAATATTAAATATTAATAATATGTAGTATTTTTACAGTTAAATAAAACTTTGTTGTCATTGTTGTTGCATTGGATTGGAGGGACATCAGTGGGTGAAAAATGCTCTACCCAACAACAACAACCACAACAACAAAGTTTTATTTAACTGGAAAAACTACCAAAAAAAACAAAATTTGGTATTTTTTGTAGTTTTTCCAGTTAAATAAAACTTTGTTGTTGTGGATGTTGTTGTTCAACAACAACAACAACCACAACAACAAAGTTTGTTGTTGTTGTTGCATCAGTGGGCGAAAAATGCTCTACTCATGAAAATTTAGTAATTTTAAGTATTTTTTTTGCCAGTTAAATAAAATGTTGTTGTATCAGTGGGCGGAATATGCCCTGCCCATGGAAATTTAGTATTTTTTTAGTATTTTTCCAGTTAAATAAAACTTTGTTGTTGTTATTGTTGTTGTTATTGTTGCATCAGTGGGCGAAAAATGCTCTACCCATGAAAATTTAGTATTTTTTAGTATTTTTTCCAGTTAAATAAAACTTTGTTGTTGTTGTTGATGATGATGATGATGATGATGATGATGTATCAGTGGGCGAAAAATGCTCTAACCGTGAAAATTTAGTATTTTTAAGTATTTTTTGCCAGTTAAATAAAATGTTGTTATTGTTGTTGTTGTTGTTGCATCAGTGGGCGAAAAATGCTCTGCCTGTGGAAATTTAGTAATTTTAAGTCTTTTTTTCAGTTAAATAAAACTTTGTTGTTGTTGTTGTTGTTGTTTCATTGGAGGGGGGGGGCATCAGTGGGAGAAAAATGCTCTGCCCATGAGAAGCTGTACAGGCCAAACATTGAAACCCTCCTTCTGCCCCAAATGCAGAGGGAAGCCAATGGGACAGGAGGAAGACTAGGATCAGGCCCCACTTTGGAACTGAAAGAGGCAAAATACCAAAGGCCCTATGGGGGCATCTACACCATAGGATTAATGCAGTTCGACATCACTTTAACTGCCATGGCTCAATGCTACGGAATCTTGGGAGCTGTAGTTTCACAAGGTCTTTAGCCTTCTCTCCCAAAGCATGTTGGTGCTTCACCAAACTCCAAACCCTAAGATCCCATAGTAATGAGCCATGGCAGTTCAAGTGGAGTCAAACTGCATTAATTCTACAGTGCAGATGCACCCCATGGAACTTAAGACCACCACCCCCAACCCTTTCTGGGTCCTTGGATCCCAAGGAAGCTGATCCCCCTTCAAGGAATCCAGATCTAACACTTCTATACACACATGCAATACATCCATATAGATACATGCATGCTGCACCTTACCTTGGCCAAGTGTTTCAAAGGGAAAGGCAACATAGCAGGAGCAGAGCAGCACCAAGTCTTGGGCTCAGCTGTTGCTGGCGGGCAAAGGGAGTCCCAGCCAGCCCTGGTGGCAAGCAGGAGGGAGGACCCAGGGCTGGAGGAAGGGGAGCACGTGGGCCGTTCTCCGCCAATGCCAGCCACTACCGGGTGCACAAGGCATCACGGGAAGTGTAGTTTCTGGTAGCCTGGAACGCCTTTCGCAGGGAGGGGCGGGGCTAGGCGCCTGGAGTCTCCTCTCTATGAAATAGAAGCCTAGGCTTGGAGTCCAGCTCTAAGGCAGGAAAGTGCAACTAAAGCACTCAATGCTTCGAGCAAGAAGAGGTGGTGATTGCAGACTATTATTACTGATTTATTATTATTATGGAGTGTTTATGGTATTTGCCCATGCATACATCATGAGATATTCTTGGAGAGAGGATCCAAGTCTAAGTATTACATGTATTGGTTATATACATATACACCCTAAGGGCCCTTCCACACAGCCCTATATCCCAGAATATCAAGGCAGAAAATCCCACATTATCAGAGTGTGGACTCAGATAACCCAGTTCAAAGCAGGTATTGTGGGATTTTCTGCCTTGATATTCTGGGATATAGGGCTGTGAGGAAGGGCCCTATAGAGGTAGTATTATACATACAGTAGCACTCTAGTTGGAGGTCAGCTGTAACCAGAAATGCTGCAGAATTTGAAGAGGCATGAATGGAGGGCGAAAGAGAGAAATGTGCCAAGAGGAAGGCATGTCAAGCCAACCCCGACTGGGACCGCCTTCCACCTGGAAACCAATGCCCTCACTATGCTACTCTGCTGCTGAGTACGCATGTCCAGTGTGGAACACATCTCACCACACTAAAACAGTAGATGTGGCTCTTAATGAGACATGCCGCATTATCACAGGGTGTCTGCGCCCTACACCACTGGAGAAATTACACTGCTTAGCCGGTATCGCACCACCTGACATCAGCCGGGAAGTAGCAGCCAATAGCGAAAGGACCAAGGCAGAGACATCTTCAGCTCACCCCCTGTTTGGGTATCAGCCAGCACGCCAATGACTTAAATCAAGACATAGTTTTCTTAGATCTACAGAGACACTCGCTTAACACCTCAACAAGCGAGAGTCCAAAAGTGGCAGGCCCAAACCCAGCACCTCAATTCGTGGGTGATACCAGATGAGAGACTCCCCCCTGGGCACACAGAAGACTGGGCGACTTGGAAGGCGCTGAACAGACTGCGCTCTGGCACCACGAGATGCAGAGCCAATCTTAAGAAATGGGGCTACAGGGTGGAATCCACGGCATGCGAGTGCGGAGAAGAACAAACCACTGACCACCTGCTGCAATGCACCCTGAGCCTGGCCACATGCACAATGGAGGACCTTCTTGCGGCAACACCAGAGGCCCTCCAAGTGGCCAGATACTGGTCAAAGGACATTTAACCAACTACCAAGTTTGCAAAATCTGTTTTTTTTTAATCTGTTTGTTTGTTTTCTGTTAGAAATGTAATACAATGGTATGGTTGCTGATGACACGATAAATAAATAAATATTGTGGGAGAAGATGCAGATCAAGAATAGGGCTCCACAGTCACCTACAGACCCACCGCCAGGATACTACACTTGGAGGACCATCATCCTCGGATTACGAGGGATCGCCTAAATAAGTATATACTGTTAATTTTGGGCATGACACAAAGTTGCCATCTGCACGGCCGTATGATGCAATTTCAAATCGAATTATATAGTCAGAGCAGGGGTCCTCAAACTAAGGCACGGGGGCTGGATATGGCCCTCCAAGGTCATTTACCCGGCTCAGGATCAACCTAAGTCTGAAATGACTTGAAAGCACACAACAACAATCCAATCTCATCAGCCAAAAGCAGGCCCACACTTCCCATTGAAATACTAATAAGTTTCTATTTGTTAAAATTGTTCTTCATTTTAATTATTTTATTGTTTTTAAGTGTTTTTTGCCCTATAAATAAGATATGTGCAGTGTGCACAGGAAATCATTCATGGGTGTGTGTTTTTTTCAAATTATAATCTGGCCCTCCAACTGTTTGAGGGACTGTGACCTGGCCCTCTGTTTAGAAAGTTTGAGGACCCCTGGTGTAGTCATCCAGCTCCTTCTACACTGCCATAGCATCCAGATTATCAAAGCAGATAATCCACATTAACTGCTTTGATCTGGATTATATGAGTCTACACTACCATATAATCCAGTTCAAATGATATTATATGGCAGTGTAGAAGGGACCCCAATTTAGTTAAACCACATTATATGCTCAGCGTAGTCATGTAATGAGTCTATATTGAGCATATAATGCGGTTTAAACTGCATTATACAGTTGTGTAGATAGCTCCAAAGTTAGTTTACACTGAACCGGCAGAAAACAAAGGGGCCACTATCACATGCTGACTCTACACCAATGCTTCTCAATCTATGGGTCCCCAGGAGTTTTGGCCTACAACTCCCAGAAATCCCAGCTAGTTTACCAGCTGTTAGGATTTCTGGGAGTTGAATGTGAAAACATCTGGGGACCCACAGGTTGAGAACCACTGCTACACTGTAGAATTTCCCATTTTAACTGCCATGACTCAATGCTATGGGATCATTGGAGCTGTAGTTTTGCTCCGTTGAAGAGTGCTCATGCCTCACCAAATTCCAACTCCTTGGATCCCATAGCACTGAGTCATGGCAGTCAAAGTGGTTTTAAACTGCCTTAATTCTACAGTGTAGATGCACCCCCAACAGTCTGAGGGACCATAAACGGGCCCTTTGCTTAAAATGTTTGAGGACTCCAGTTCTAGATCATATACACTCAAATTGAATGTTGAGGCAGAAAAGCATTTTGTCATTTAGTGCCATAGCTAAATATTATAGCAAGGAGTGCTGTTTGTCAGTCCACACGGGAGATTAAACAGGTACTGATCCATAGGATTGCTATTTTATATTTCTTTCTCTCTCACTCCCTCACTAACCTCTTGCACTTTTAACAGCTGCGGGGCTTGATGAAAATTCAACCCAGAACAGGCTTGCCTTTGCTGAGGGTGGCTTCACCTCTTCAACTCCTGTTTATTATGACAATTAAGAGTACATGACTATTGCCAGATTATTATTTTAAGGTGGAGGGGGGTCTGTTCTGTGATTATGCTTTACATTAATATAATACAGTATAATCCTGGTTGGGTTTTTGCTTTATACACAATTCAGTGGTGTAGTTTCCAAGTGTGGTATAGTAGTCCTCATCTGGTGGACCTCATCTACACTGCCATATAATCCTGTTTCTGAATCCAAATCATCTGCTTTGAATTAGTTATATTATAGTATAGACTCATGTAATCCAGTTCCAGACTGATAATCTGGATTCAGAAAGTGGATTATATGGCAGTGTAGATCCAGCCTGGGTGTTCGATGAGAACTAGGATCTGAATTCCCACTTTGCCTTGCAAACCCAAAGGTTAACTTTGTGGAAAATGTACTCATTCTCAGAGGAAGGCAAAGGCAGCCTTCCCCTGAACACATCTTGCCAAGAAAACGCTTTGATGGGGTTGTCATAAATTAGAGTTGACAATAATCTTAATCTCTACAACACACAAAACTAAACATATAACAGCAAGAACTACTCTATAAATCTCAAACTCATTGCCTGTTGATTTTTAATTCTTAAAAGACGGAGGCTGGATAGATAACAATATTTGAAGGTAGCAAAAAGTAAATTGTTAAATAGCTGAATCAACACTTATAGTTTTATCAAAATGCCTGTTGTTACAACAAGGAAGAAAATTCAGACAATTGCATCATAAGCTGATTTCAGATGGCCTGGAATGCTGCTTTTCCCTTCCCTTATTATACAACATTATTGGCAGTGTACTGTGTGAATTGATTTACATCTACAGTATCAAGAAATGGGGTTACATAATTAGTAATCATGCTTAACATTCCTACATAACAGGGCTTCTTACACTTTTCTATTCATGGCCCCTTTTGACCTGGGAAATTTTTAGGTGATGCCAAGCATATAGGTATATAAAATAGGTATAAAAATCAAATATTTACTGATAACAAGCATTTACAAATCGTGTTAATCATCCTCTGTGCATCTTCTGTGGAGGCCACTATAAGCCCTGTACAAAAGATTCATGTCTGGCTGGATCTACAATGCCATCCAGATTTTCAAATCAGATAATCCACATTATCTGCTTTGAACTGGATTACATGAATCTACACTGCCATAAAATCAAATTCAAAGCAGATAATCAGAATTTTATATAGCAGTGTAGAAGGGGACATCTATGTCTTGATCAGGTGATGTTCAGAAAACCTTTATTATTCTCAAGTCTTTCAGAATCTCAACATTGAGCTAAGGGGGACCATTTGGGATCAGGTCCCATAATTTAAAAAGCAGCGCAATATAGCTCCCCCCCCCCCACCTTAAAATGGAGACAGGACCTGCTGAATGTGTTCGGGCTCCAATTCCCATCAGACCCATTCAGGCAAGGATTATGGGAAGTATCATCAAACAATATTTGAAGGTTGGTAGCTTTCGCACCTCTACCTTGAGCCCTGAAAGAATAATAGAATCATAGAGTTGGAAGAGACCTCATGGGCCATCCAGTACAACCCCCTGCCAAGAAGCAGGAATATTGCATTTAAAGCATCCCTGACAGATAGCCATGTTTAAAAGCTTCCAAAGAAGGAGCCTCCACCACACTCCGGGGCAGAGAGTTCCACTGCTGAACAGCTCTCACAGTCAGGAAGTTATTCCTAATGTTCAGATGGAATCTCCTTTCAGCCTTCTCTTCTTCAGGCTAAACATGCCCAGCTCTTTAAGCCATTCCTCATAGGGCTTGTTCTCCAGGCCCGTGATCATTTTAATCACCCTCCTCTGGACACTTTCCAGCTTGTCAATATCTCTCTTCAATTTCGGTGCCCAGAATTGGACACAATATTCCAGGTGTGGTCTAACCGTGGCAGAATAGCGGGATAACATGACTTCCCTGGACCTAGACACTATGCTCCTATTGATGCAGGCCAAAATCCCATTGGCTTTTTTTGCCACCACATCACATTGTTGGCTCATGTTTAACTTGTCCACAAG